GGGTCGATCGACCATTTCACGGGGGTCGCCAAGCAAGGCTGTCCGCCATTTTTTCCCCTTTTCCGGCGGGTGCCTTACCTCCCTTGAGCTGGGCCAGCTGGTTGTCGGCCTGCTCCGTCTCTGCCGCTTGCCAGCTACGCCTCGGCCGGTGCAGGGGGCGGAACCACGCATGCGCGGCGCTCCCGGGCAGGGAAAGTCCTCGACTTACGACCGGTTGGGTAGTCCTCGACTTACAACCGGTTTAGTCCTCGACTTACGACCGGGTTAGTCCTCGACTTACGATCGGTTGGGGGTCGCGGCATTAAAAAGGTTGAGAACCACTGAATTAACTGGTGCTGCCAAAGTGAATCCAACCAAGCAGTGATAGGGAATGTATGTTCTTTGTGCAGATTCCCCATAAATCTAATGGCATTATGGAAACTTATCTTTATCAGTGTAGTAACGAAGCTACAAAATCTAGTGGGAAAAGGCAAACTTGCCACAATTTATGATTTAGTTCCACTGGCTTCAATGTTGCAAAAACAAATGTTATATAAAAGACAATCCAGACTAATATGGAGCAATTTCACAGTAATCAGATCTCTGTCTAGAATCATACGGTCACCTTTTCGTAGTCACTGTTCATCTAGTACAAGGATATGCATGATAAACAAGGTGTTTATTTTGTAACAAGGCAATAAAGGAGAATGAGCACCTAATTCAACAACTTTCCTGGAAAACTATTTGCACTTTATTGTAATGCACACATTTACTCTCTAGTCTAGTCTTAAGACTTAGGAATTTGGTCTTAGTACTCTGCATCCAACAGATTACATTCTTTCTTATGGAAACTTATGTTAATTTCCCCTCTGCTATCAAACTTTACTTAAAACACCACTGTAAAACTAAGACTATGGGTCTAGGCTGGGAATCTAATCTGAAGGAAAGCTAGAATACCTTTCACATGCCCTACCCCTTGAATGATGAATTGCACTGTTCAGCTAATGGATTTTTTTTGCCAATATCTTCCAATATTTTGCTAAGCTCAATACATTTGTATTGAAATGTATATAGTTTAAAACTCAGGCTTTATAACACAGTGTGGTTCTGGTCAGGCAACAGAGGTAGTAACATTAGTAAAGGAAACTTAATAAATATGACAGTTTTAGCATGATGGTGTCTCTTAGCACAAATTCACATAGCTACTAAGATTAGACATGCCTTGGAAAAGATCTAAAAGGCAGAAGAAGAGGCACACAGGTAGTTAAAACCCTATCTACTAATAAAGGCTATTCTTCAGAACTCATGTTGCAATCCTGAAATTTCTTGTGATCTGGATTGCCCCAGGACTGCCTCCATAATAGAGAACTGAAACCTGAAGTTGATTTTAAAGCAGGCTGCAATTAACAATAATGAATGCATCCATCTTTCTGGTAATTAAAAAAAAAGCAACTGTGGTCTGCCATATTCGAGCTTCAAAAAAAAAGAACAGATGACTGTTAGAATCAAGTTTTTCCCATCTTTTTGCTGTTATCTAGTGGTTGTCCAGATGTGTGTATTGGTAATGTAATGCAGAGGTACAGAAGGAGCAAACAAAAATTAAAACCTCAAACTCCTTAAATAAATCACATAAGTGCTTGAGTTCCTTTCTAAGCCTCATTTTTAATCCTTCCCAAAAGAGTGACTGTGCCTTTTCCTTGTCATGCAAAACACAGTAACAAATCCATGCTCCTACTCTTCTGAAACAGCAATTTATATCTAGAAGGAACCTTTGTTGTTTTCTTTAAATGAAAATTACTGCCTGTTCCAATCCTTCAATTTCCTCATTCAGGTCTACACGAGACTTGAAAAGTCTTCTTTGAGAAAAAAATAAAATAAAAATTACTGTATGTCCTGTTTTATTTAACAAATCAAACTTGTATTTCTTAAAAATGGCAGGTTTGTTCTAATCTCTTGACCAAGTGTATTTTAAAGGGACGAACTTTGGCAATCCTGCACAAAGTGATGGCAATGACCTCTAAAAATATTCTTACCCAGCCATAACTTATAGTACTAAGCACAGCTAAAAAAATTTTTTTTAAAAAAGATAATTTACTGCACTTGAGATATTGCCATTTTTGTTTATGCTCCTTATATATCTGCATTTAAAAATTTCAGACCATCTGTAAGGAAGTCATATTAATAAAAAGCAGAATATCTCCTAATGAGGGCTGAAGAAAGGCAATCAATCATTCTGTAGGACAAGTGTTCCTGATACAGAAGGAACCTAATGAAGTTATTTTAAAGTAGATCAAGTTTTTAAAGCTCATATTTTAAGAAGTGCTCTATTACGAGTATGGAAGAAATATTATCATAGATTAAATTACAAAATTCCCATTTGGGCGATTCCAGGACAGGTGATAGAGGGGGTATCTAGAGGAGTTAATTTGGATAATATTACTTATAGGGAATTACTTAGTCTGGTAGGAAAGGAGTGGCAAATTAAACCCTTAGCAGATTTGAAACAAGAAAATATTGTATATTCTTGGTTTTATTATAACCAATTGCTAATGAGGTGGAATTTAGACCAAAAGGTCGGTATTACTTTGGAGGATGTGAACTTGATTAAACAGATTAAAGACTCATTGGGAGTTCACATAAAGAGAATTTATAATGTTTTGATTGAGTTGGATTCTGAAACGGAGTTAGTTAAAGATTGTATGATAAAGTGGGCACAGAATATTCAAGAAGTGATTCCATTGGATACATGGGAGACAATTTGGGTAAGAAATGTAAAATTTACTCAAGCACAAAATTTAAGAGAAAATTTTTATAAGATGTTTTATAGATGGCATTTGGATCCTCAAAAACTGTCACGCATGTATCCTAACTTACAGCCCAAATGTTGGAGATGTGGAAGTTTAGATGTAACCTACTTCCATATTTGGTGGACGTGTAGGAATATAAAGGCATTTTGGATTAAGATTTGGTGGAATATTCAAAATATCTTTAAGAAGAAGATAAAGTTTACACCGCAGTTATTTTTGTTAGGTATTATGGGAAATTTGGATGCCAAAGAAATGAATTTGATGTTGAATCTTATAACAGCTGCAAGATTATTGGTAGCTCAATATTGGAAGACGGATGGTTTGCCCACTGT